CACTAGAAGACCACGACCATGGCTCCAATTTAACACAAACAACATCAGAAACTTTTAAATTTGCAGCAGGTTCCTCACCAGTCGCGAATGCCGCGACACAGTGAGAAAAACCCAAAATCCGGCGCCGTCCGACCAAGCCCCGATCCCGGACCACCTGGGCTTTGTTCCTCTTCACCTGGTCCAGCTTTCCCAGGTATGGGTCATGGCCAATTTCTTCCTGAGCTCGACGAATTTATGGCAGCAGCTAGAGACATGCGAGAAATTCGGCACTCATGAATTTGATGAATCTATGCTGAATCTCTTGATGTTGTTTGTGACAAATTAATCTGATATTAATGTAATTGAGGCTCATGTGGTTATGGGTAACGATCCAATTGATAGAAACAACATGCAATTGAATTCCAATTTCATGCCTCAAGCTCCGGTTGTTGAGAATTCTCCAAATGCTAATTTGAGAGTTTGAAGTTTCAAATTTGCGATGTAGGTCCTCATATTTCAGTTTTAAACTCATTTGGTCCTTCAGTGACCATTCTTGAAACCGGTAGATACTTGAGTGACCGTTAGTACAATTTTTAAACTTCAGTGACCGTTTTGTTATTTTGACGTAACTTCAGTGACCGTTTGTGAAATTAACCCCATACATGAGATCTTCAAATGAGCTAAGATACTAAGGTATTTCCAAAAGTTAAGCAGTATCCTCTTAACATGGTACTCGAAAAGATGTGTAGTTCTTGCCTCTTGGCAAATGGCAAGTATGACAATAGCATTATAGCAGTATTACACAAAAACCCTAATTAGGCTACTATTAGATCCTAAAGTTAACAAAATACCCATATCTCCTAAAATATAAGAAATCCTAATTATAAATGGCACCCACTTATTAGAATGAAACAACGCATTATTATAATTATAAGGGAAAATTGCAGCAACAGTCCCTAATCTTTTACTTTTTTGCAGATTTTATCCTAACCTTTAGTTTGTGCCATTGGAGGTCCCGAACCTTTGAAAATTAGCAGCTTAGAACAGGATGGATGGAAACCGTCCATTTAATCGTTAGTTAACCAAAAAAAATTGATTTTAACTATATTTGTTAAGAACAAAATGGTAGCTTAATGATTTAAACATAAAATAATTTTAACAACACAAAAAAAAAAAAAAATCAAACTCATTTCTTTGACACACCCTAACCCTCAACCCCATCAATCCAGAAAAATCGCCGTCAACCGCCATCACTACCACCACTACCAAGATTCAGAATGCAAATCCGACCACGACTTACCATTGAAGAGGAAGTTTCAATAATGGTAGCAGCCTTGAAAAATGTCATAAGTTGTGCAGCCGCCACCGACACTTTCGCCATTGACGAGGAGTAAGAAGACTCTCGACATGCCGATGGTTGCGGCTGTAATTGCTTCAGAAGTTGTCTCCCAGGTATCTATTAGACTCTCTTGAATTGAAGAAAAATTGGAAATTTTTCTATAATTTGGGTTATGAATATACTTGCATTTTGATTGAATTAGGGGGGCAAAGCTACCTATACATACTTTTAAGAAGGTAAACAAGATTGAAGGGGCAATAATTGGTGGGCTACTGTAATTCTTAAAGGGGCGAATAGGGATGCTGAGGGAAGAATACCCAAAGCTTGGTAGTGTGTTCGCTCTAAAATTATTGAATAAGAATATTACTTTCTCGATTGGTCGGGAGGTGTACCAATTCAACTCTTTGAATGCATGTGGAAAGGTATTGAATTTGTATACCTGGCTTTGCATCACCAAATGAATATATGAATATCTGGGATAGTGCATATAACTTCTAAATGTTGTGATTTTTACTTATCGTAATGGACAAAATTGTTCCATTCAAGGTCTCATTTAAACTGAGATTCTACCAAAAAACTGAGTCATTTTAGGTTTCTTAAAGAAAACTGTAAATTTCTTCTACAATTTTGAAGTGGAAATTTTGTGAGCGAAATGGATTGTTGACAATGTAAACTCTAAATGAATTAATAGAAGACGATGAAGATGGGTGGAGTCGATGTGCAGTCAGTTGGAAAAGAAGATGAAGGCGAGGTGGGGTGGGGTGGCCAGATTGGCAAAAGAATACTAAAAAAAAATGACATCGTTTAACAAAGTCCAAATAAATAGCAGTAGAAACTAGACAAGCATGCACATTGTACAACGGTTTATGCATTTCCATCAACCCATGTCCATTGCTTTCATATTTCATCGAAAAAATATAGACTAGCAACTATTATGCAATTTATTATCATTCTACATAAACATGCTATTATGGCTTCCAAATCACGTGTTGATGCAAACATGCAGCTAATTTGCAAGGATATAAGTTTTTGCTCAATATGGAACATGCTGTCAACAAAAACAAGGCCATGCATGATAGATAACATTATGAAGATGACATCACAAGGAATGAGCATACATGACTGAGGAACTAAATAACAGGCATTTATTTTAGCAGCATACATGGCTTCCAAATCACGTGTTGATGCAAACATGCAGCTAATTTGCAAGGATATAAGTTTTTGCTCAATATGGAACATGCTGTCAACAAAAACAAGGCCATGCATGATAGATAACATTATGAAGATGACATCACAAGGAATGAGCATACATGACTGAGGAACTAAATAACAGGCATTTATTTTAGCAGCATTACCTGCAAAAATGCCAACAGTTGTCAGATTTCCAATAGCCATAGTGTGGTAAATGAGGTACTCAGTCAAGAAATGGCCAAAAGCATATATGAAGGATAAAAACGTTGCCAAATACAGAGGCTTGTTGTCAAGGTTGAATGCACAGAGAAAGCATAGAGTACAAGTCAACAATGTCCAAACTCCAAATGTCCGTCCATGAACTTCAGTCACTACAATTTATAAACAAAAGATTGAAAAAGCTTCATTAGGAAAATTTTGCAAGACAGATAATATGGAAAAATAAATAGGAAACTTTGATATAAAATGCCAGATCTTTGCAACCCTTCAGAAAAAAAAATCATGTGATGCAAGGATGCATTATTTCGTTAGCTAACATAGAAATCCACCATTAGAGGATAAAATTTTAAGTGATTTGTAAACCTCATTCGTACACACCATCTCATATATCAAAAAGATTGCTCCTAGGGGTTCATCTCTCTATATTAGCATGACTATTAAATGACTTCAAGTCTCAGCACATGTACTTAAGATAAGTTATAGAATGTTGGTTACACTAGAACTTAAGAGGATTTGAAGAAAACACCACGTAGGATTATCTATTTAAGAAGAAAATCTAAAAAGGGTTAAATCCTTATATTCAAATTTTGATTTCAAACATAATTAACTAAACTTTTTTAACAGCATAAAAATCCAGAGATTTACTAATTCTGCAAGATGAAAACATGAAATACATTCTGGTTCCAATTTTACTTTCCTCACCCTCCTGCATCTATTCAATATATTCGTTCTACTTTCTAAACAAGTTCTTCAATCACCAATTGCTTTCTAGACCTCCCGGATTTAAAGCTGATGCATTCATTTTGAACAGATGCATTAGGAAATGCAATGCGATGGAATTAAGTGGCTCCCAATAAAATCTGTAATAAAATAGAAATGTCCAGAAAGTAAATCATACACGTTAGAAATGCAAAATCGTAATATACTCAAGTCGAGAGGAATCCATAAGCCATAAAACGATGAAGATGTCTTTCGGATGACATTCTCCCACTAATATTTTCAAGTCACGTTACTAAGAAGAGAAGCAGCAGTAAAGATCATTAGCATTTAGCATTGATAAGCAATATGATAAAATCAAGGAAGGTTATGAAATTGTAGCTAAAATTAAAGGAACGAAAATTAACAGAGAAAGAAAATGGATAGGCCTGCTGTTAAGGCCAGGGAAGATGATGAATACTCATGCATTCAACTTGAGGAAATTACAATGCAATCTATTCTATTTATAGAGAAAATAGCTAACAAATTATCTAACAAACTAACAAGATAACAAACATAAGAAGGAACTAGAAAAAGTTAGAAGGAGCTGCTGTTGAACAGGTTTGCTGGGAACGTCTGGTGAACTGGAGAGAATGGCTGGAGAATATTCCAACACAATATGAAACACTTCACCAAAGTTGGTTACACTTTCCAAATTCACCATATAAACTTATTTTTTTTTCCTACAAATCTTAACCACCAAGAATTTTCTCTGAATGTAGAGAATGCGCAAACTGTTGTTTCATTTTCAATACATCCATTTTAGGTGATAAGACCACTGCATATGGCAATTTCAAATTAACATGATGCCTATAAAAATCTAATTTTTCGCTGCTTTTTTTTTTTTTTTTCCGGCGTAAGTAAAATTAGGTGCAAATGTAAAAGGGGTGCTAAACGGCTGTAAAGATCTGTATTATTTAATCTTGAAGATTCAGTAACAGTCTCTCCGATAATGAATGTTATTTATTTGGTGAGCGTAGATCCAACAAAAGCAAACGTAGGAGAATTCCTTCAATTTGGGATATCGGTAAACACTGTGAAATACCGAATTACATCAAATCGACTACGCATCACCCAAAAAAAAAACGTGCAGCAAGTGAAAATAATAAAATGTAAATGCGTCCATACATACTTGTGGTTTGGGAGAAAACGGCAATGCGAAGAGCCCAAATGTTGAAGAATCCGAACCATACTGATGCTAAACGAAGTAAACCCACCAGCATCAACCACCATCCAAGTAGCTTCATCTTCAGACGCTTCCTCTGTCAACTGTCGAATTTGAGTTTCAAATTAAAAAAATAAAAAATTAGGTCAAAGATCTGGTTCTCGTTATACGCTCGGGGAAGAACTAGAACAATAGAGCAGTGCACGTAGGGAAGAGGCTAAATAGCCAAGTCTCCAATGGTGAGGCAAATTTGGTGCAATAAACTCTCAAATACTTGGGCAAAATTTGGTATAAGAGATAATGACTTTAGCAACGTTGAATTCATTTTGAAATAGATGTTAAAAAATAGGGTTATGCTACGTATACTGTATGGAATACACTTATGTTTACTCGGACACGCTCCCTCCCTCATATGGGGATCGGGTCCCACGCATTTATTGGATGTGGGACCTCACCTCCATGTGAGAGAGAGGGTGGGACCGGTTAAACAAGAGTGTAATCCATATGGTACAAATAATATAATTCAAAAAATAAAGAAAATTTCGAGTTTGCGTATAATATTATTTATTGAGGAATGCGTAATTGGAAAAAAAAAAAAGAGAAAATATATATTTTGAAAAAAAGAGAATCAAACAAGAGCATAATGCTATTCATTTACACCATATTTGAAAATTTTCTATACTGCCATTTCTTTTTCTTTACATTAAATTTTTGTTCCATCTATATTCCTTTTTCCACCTTTCAGGATTAATTGATTTTAATTTATTTATATTATTTTAATATGATAGTTCTTTTTATTTTTAATTCTAATCAAGTAATAAGTACCAATTATTGTATGGTGATAAGTAATAGAGCAAAGCTGCACTTACAGAAATTTTATTTCTATAAAAATACCAGAATAGGCACATGGGGGGTGGGCCCCATTTTTTATAATAATATTTTATTCACATCGAGCCCACCCCCATTTGAGTAATATGTCATTTTAATAGAAGGAATAGTTCTGTACGAGTGAAATTTTCCTAAGTAATAATTATTGATACAATCAATCAAAATAATATAATTTTTAATTAAATAATTTATTGATTCCATAAATTAGAATAAATTATTGTGATGGTTATCAATTTATGCAATATTTTAGTTCATTAAATATAATTTTTAATTTTAACTATTTAGTAATAATATAATTTTTAATCAAATAACAGTGTCCGCCGGATAATTTCTCACCTTATACCCACCCCTATACCCCTATACCCATTTAAGGGGCGGGGAGGGGTCTCTGCCCCTTTTACCATATTGTTTACCTTTTTTTATTATTTTTTAATGAAAAAACTTGATAAAAAATTAATTTTATATAGTTTATGCAGAATGACATAACTTTCCCTAATCAGAAGCAGTTCCTTTTATATATCAGAAAGCCACTCGAGTAAGCTCTAGAATTCAATTTCCTCAAATACACTCGTTCTTAATTGGGAGGGAAAGGACAGAGATAAGCAGCAAGGCACTTGGTCATCTAATTACATTATTGGAAACTAAGTAGTTTTACATATCAATGCATTGTAATTCATGATTTATTTATTCAGAATAAATAGAAGATATTCCTTCAAAGTTAGCGGGGTGTTTTTATCAATCATACTTCAACACATAAAACTTTCAATGGCTAAAGAAAATAAGAGAATCTCCTCCAACAACAAAAAAAATATGGAAAACTTCCATTTACCTATAAAAGCATTGTAACTTATGTAGTCCTTGCCCATATGAATAATATTTTTAAGCAGTACACCCAAAAGGCGTTGAATGAAACTCAAAAAGTAACATTTAGAGATTATACACTAATTTTGATAAAACAGAAGCCTTTTCTTAAGTAGAGAAATACTTAAAAGTAAACATAGAACTTGAGAAACTTCAATAGCCAGTTTACAAACGGCTAAACTAGGATGTCTTCATGTTGTAGATGGGTAAGTCCTCACATCTTCTTCTAGAATGTCTATATCAGACTCTTTAAAAATTGATGACTGTAAAAGTGTTTATTAGTTAGACATATGATATATTTAACTATTTATTATACAAATCTATTTAAAGAAAAATAAATTTACCTCATCTTCAATATCTGTGTCACTTAACTTTGTACAACATCCAGAGTATGATGCAGGTAGGGCTAGGCAACGGATTTGGTGAGCTTGATTTTGTCCTAAACCCAACCTGAACAGGTTTCCTCGGTTTTGGAGACTCTCTGAAACCGACCTGAACCGGCTTATAATCTAAAACCAACCTGACCTGACTCGGTTCGGTCTGGGTCACCTATTTTCATTTTTTTTGTTCAATTTCAACAATAAAATTATCAAGTGTCCGCAAAAACAAAGAACAAGAAAGCATAGTATTAAATTAAAAGGGTTGTGAGTTTTGGGCCCAAGTCTAGATGTAGGTAATGATTGTTCTACCAAAAAAATAAAACTAGTGAGCGATAAAAAAAATAACAAAAATAACAATTATGAAAAATATAGATAATTGTACTTTTTGTATCATGAATGTCAACCCATAACCAATCTCGAGCACAAATCAAAGCCTCCATAGCTTTCAGGTGAAGCTTATTTCTATGTGGACTAATAAATCTATCACTAGTACTGAATGCAGACTCTAACGCCACTATAGATACTAGGATGACTAAAATATCTCTTGCAACTTTTTGTAAAGAATGATATTATTGAATTTGCATTCCATCATGCCAATACATCAAAATCATTCGATTTAGGCAATAAAGGCTCATCCAAGAAAATGTCAAGTTTTGATTTCATACTATCAATACTAGTGGTATTAGAAACAAATAAATCAAATTGTGCCGACCGATCTTTTTTATTTGCATTAGTAGATATCTCAGTTTGGTTTGAAAATTAAGTCACGTTTCCACTTGATCCATGTCTCGTTTTGTACTCATTTAACAACTTGTTACAAAATTTTCTAACATTTTCAATCTCAAGATCCGAAACTTTATTTCCATGAATCATTGAAAAATAGTATTTAACCAACTTCATTTTAAATCTTGGATCCAACACACTAGCAACAGCTAAAATTCCATTAATCTTGCTCCAATATTTTTCAAACTTGTCAATCATACTTGAAGTCGTCATTTTGATTTCAGCATAAGGAGAATTCATCCAATCTTAAATTGACAACTTTATCTTAGAAATATTAGAAAAATAAAATTTGGATGTTGGGTATTTAGTCCCAGAATATAGTTTAGTCACTTCAAAAAATATCTCCAACCTTTCACACATTTCTTTCGCCAAATTCCAATCTATATCACTAGGCAAACATCTATATTGTGACTCGCGTTGCTTTAAGTACGTAGAGCGCTATGAAGCATTAAGCCCATGTTTGAGCCACATTAAAATTTTTATTTTCATTCTTCTACTCATTTTCAACCACACATTTTTCAACAAAATAATATTTTCCATCACATCAATAACTTTTCCTTCTTTTTCAACAACATATTCTCTATCAATCTACTATTCCAAAATATATTCTTCCAAAATAATGGCTCAAGCACACGCTAATACGTAGAGTTCCACCTAATTTTCAATCAAGTGCTAACTTTTTGGAACGCGAGATTTTCAATTGGCATGCAGAACTCTCAAACTTTTCCACTATTTTCGAAGTTGTTGTCTAGTACACAACATTGTCACTGATTTTCTCAACACACAAGTTAATGATCTCTAAACCGTATTTAACTATCAAGTTCAATATGTGCGCACAACAACGCATATGGAAAAATTCATCATTTAATGAAAGTGAACTACCAGAAAACTTATCTAAAAGAATGTTAATCATGGCATCATTTTGTAGTACAATTATCGACATTTAATGTAGATAACTTATGATCGATATTCCAATCCATCAAAGAGACCATGAACAATATACTTTGTTTCTCACAATTGTGAGGACACGGCACGTATATGAACCTGTATTTAAAATAAAAACAACACAATCAGGACAAATATCAATTTAAATAATACATGAAAATAAGCTAATTTAATTTATGTAAATCAAAGTTCCTCATAATTTGACTTTGAAGCCTCCAAAAATCATTTAAAAAATGCGCGATAATGGCTATGAATCAAAGTTTTGGATTTGATTCGAAATAACGAATCAAAATAATCAACAATATGAAAATGATATGTTGACACTTTTGATTAAATATTTGAGAATTTCACCAGGTTAATTTGAACGCCACAAGAAGAATCTTGATAAGTTCATAATTTGTCCAACAAAGAACAAGAATTCGAATGCAAATTTGTCTCTCAATAAATCTCAATAATAATGTCGTATTTTACAATAAAAAGAATGAGTTATATTTATAGGGAACCCATAAAACCTAGTTAAAAACGGAATTAAGCCAAAAAAATAGCAAAAGTACTACAAAATAGAATTTTAACTTAAATAGAAGATTAGCAAAATTTGAGAATATTCGCGACCAAAATGAACTATGTGGCCGCATAGTGTAACTCTATGCAATTACATAGATCAATTAAAAAGCCCCCGAACAGTTTTGGTATCCATGCATGCGACCGCATGCATAAGTGTGCTATGCGATCGCATAGCTTCACTCCTCAACTTCCTCGTCCGTCGCTTGAATCATGTCAATCCATCAGGTTTCTCCTCCCGAGATCAACATGAAACTTGTTCCCTTATTATGATCAACGTTTCGTCCACCGTAGCTTGAACAAGCAATCACATACCGTGCCATCGGACCTCCTTCGATAATCAATGGGTCATTTCCTTACCTTGACTTTGATGAGCTCGACTCCATGTTCACATTATCCCCTCTCTCTTCAAAAGAATTCGTCATCGAATCTTTACCTGCATCAATGAGATAGAGATATCAGATACATTAAAATTAGCCGAAAATTATACTCACCAGGAAGATCCAGATTATGCATTGTAATTGATTTTCTCGAGAAATTGAAACTAGTTTAGTTTTGGGGTGTCGTATCCATGGAGAGCTAGAAAAGTTCTCAAAGGTTCCAAAAGGTTTATCATTCTCTCAAAATGTATAGAAAAGCTCAATGTAGGGAAACTAAGATTAAT